TATATATATATATATATATATATATATATACATATGTGTATGTACATGTGTGTAAATATTACTTGATATTACACAAATATGAAGTCATATACGAATGTGATGTTTCATTAATTTATTGATGGCTCATACAATTCGCACGCACACATTCACACACATCAAGCACCTCCAGGCACACACGCATGCATGCATGCACACGCACGCATACACGCACGCACGAACACACGCATCACCCAATTTCCTAGAGAGTTCTAACAACATTACAGATTCGCAGCAGACACAATGTGCACATAGACTTAACATACGTTTGATTGCATTACAGTTGTCACCAACCCGGCATCGATATAATAAATAATCGGTCAGCCAGCACCAACTAGATTATCCCGCGTTAAAATATGCGAACACGAGAAAAATATCCCCGACCGATGCGCCAGATTTAACCGCCATCGTCATATTTCTCGGCGAGAGAAGACGAAAAAAAGGGATACGGGGCTGCGAGCTGCTTTCGCGTTCTATCTACCGTATTCCCTCGAATAATAGCCCCTGCTTGAATAAAGGCATGTGTGATTAAGGGCCGGGGGAGGGGGGTAAGGACACTTTAAATCAATAAACGCCGGGGCCTGAATAATCTCCGGGGGGGGGTGATAATGTATATACCGGTATACAGTTTGTGACTGTCAGAGCTTTGCACGAAATAACAGGCCTGTCTCTAGATATATTACGAAGGAAATAAATTAAATAACGGGTGTAGCATGCAGTAAAACAATAAACGCGCCTGCCTGAATAAAGGCATGCTTGAATAGGCGCCGGGGTGATTAGTGTGACGAAAACAATAAACGCCGGTTCGTTTATTCGAGGGAATACGGTATGCTGAGACATCATCACCTGTTTCCTTGCGCCTCCCAGAGCAGTTTGCATACGATAAGAACGCTGAGAGAAAAAATGTGGAAGACAAGAGCTCGGCCCGACCCACGACGCCTGTCACCTGCAAGAAAGACACGACACGCGACGTCATCACACGCACGCACGCACGCACGCTCGCAGACGCGCACGCACACGCACACGCTCCTCTCTCGGCCTCCCCCTTGTTGACGCCTGCCACCAGTTACTGTCACACGCACGCATGCACGCACGCACAAACACACAGACAAACACACACGCACGCACGCACGCACGTACATACACACACAGACACACGCACGCACGCACGCACACACATACACACACAGACACATACACACACGCACACATATACACACGCACGCACGCACACACAAACACACACAGACACACGCACGCACGCCCGCACCCACGCACGCACCCCCGCGCTCCTCTCCCCACTCCCTGCTCGTGCGAGCGCCGCGTGACGATAAATCGTAATAAATTCTAATCTCGTAATAACTAACAAATCCTCGGCCCATAATTTATCGTGGGGTCGCTCAGCTCCATGGCGGCGGCAGCGATCGCCGCCGCCGCCGCCGCCGACGCCGCCGCCGCGCTTAATGCACTGCAGGGCGCACGCGTCAGCGACGCAGCGAGCGTGCGCCTTGTTTATGGCTTCACTCAACTGCACCCCGCGCGTCGGTGGTATTCCGACGGCCGACAGAGAAATGCTACAACGTCGTTACACACGCGAGTGGAGGTCGTGGTGGTGGTGGTGGTGGTACTGCTGCTGGTGGTGCTGCTGGTGGCGGTGGTGATGGTGATGGTGTTGTTGTTGTTGTTGTTGTTGTTGTTGTTGATGATGATGATGGTGGTGGTGGTGGCGGCGGCGGCGGTGGTGGTGGTGTTGATGGTGTTGGTGGTGTTGGTGGTGGTGGTGGTGGTGGTGGCGGCGGCTGCTGCTGCTGGTGGTGGTGGTGGTGGTGGTGGTGGCGGCGGCGGTGGTGGTGGTGGTGGTGACGGTAGTGAAGGTGGTGCTGGAGGTGGAGGTGGTGTTATTGTTGTTGGTGGTAGTGGTGGAGGTAAGGGTGGCGGTGGAGGTAGATGTGGAGGTATTGATGGAGGTAAAGGTGAAGGGGGGGGGATAAATACCGCATTGGTTACCGACGGACGTGAACTCCAGCAGAATTTTCAAATCGCCGTCCGTAATTATCCTCCCTCCCACCCTCCCGTCCGCCAGTCCGCCTATCTCCCTCCGACCCTCCCATCCGCCTACCTACCTCCCACCCTCCCGTCCGCCTCCCTCCCTCCCTCCCGTCCGCCTCTCTCCCTCCCACCCTCCCGTCCGCCTCCCTCCCANAACGCACACACACTCACACATCCACATCCACACACACGTAGCATTGATCAGCACAGCGCGCTCACGCACGCACGCACACACACTCACACATCCACATGCACACACACGTAGCATTGATCAGCACAGCGCGCTCACGCACGCACGCACGAACGCACACATACACTCACACATCCACATCCACACACACGTATAGCATTGATCAGCAAAGCGCGCTCAGCGCACTCACGGCCACGTCAGCCACGCTACGCACGCACGGCAACGCACGCCACGCAGCACACACACACACACACACACACACACACATCACACAACTTACACCACAACATACACACACACGCACGACTCACACATCCCCGTACGCACCAGCACGAAAGCTATTGATCAGCACAGCGCTGCTCACTGCACGCACGGCCACGGCACGCACGCACGCACATCCACACACGGGACACCACACACCACACACACACAACACACCACATCAACACACACACACACACACAGCCACACACACACACACCACATCTACACCACAACACACGCACTCCACGTAGCATTCGAACATCACCGCGTGCGATATAGACGCGACAGACACGCAGCGCACGCACGCCGACGCCACGCACGCACGCACAGCACACACACACACACCACACACATCCACACGCACACACACGTAGCATTGATCAGCACAGCGCACTCTCCATTCGAACATCACCGCGTGCATGCGATATAGACGCACACGCACGCACACACACGCACACACGCACGCACGCACGCTGCGTCAATTTCCGCAAATTTTAACGCGCATTATGTGACTCGGCATCGCCAAATGCGAATATTAATCAAATGCTAAATACAATGCTGCAATGTTTATGCCCCGCGCGCGCGCTATTGTTCGCTGGGGTTCGACGGACGTAAGAGAAACGGCCCCGTAATTCACGAACTCGCGCACGAACCGCTTCAGCGGGTGTTAATAGTTGACAAATAGAAGGCGAGATGGAGAGAAAAGAAGAGAGATAAAGAGAAATGCACCCGCTACGTACAGCACATGCTGAATATATATCTGTATATGTATATTATATATATATATATATAATTATGTATATATTATAATTTATATATCGGCATGTCCTTTTATATATTCGTTCTTCATCCTATTCCGCCTTCCTTGTATCCCCTTACAATATATACATATTTTACATATATTTCCTCCTATATAAGAACTGCAATCGTTAACGAGTCCCTACTCTCGATGCCACCCACCCACTCGCCAACGATGACGCAAAACAATTTTCGTAAATTATTGATCGAATCGAAGCCGATCTCGTTTATCGAAAACCCGTTTTGATCGCGCTGCGGCGGCGTTCCGACCGAGCTTACATCCTATAGATGATAGAGAAAGAGAGAGAGAGAGAGAGAGAGAGAGAGAGAGAGAGAGAGAGAGAGTGAGAGAGAGAGAGAG